GAAATTTACATGTCACTTATGTGATAGAAGTTTCACAGAGAAGTGGGCCCTGAACAACCACATGAAACTCCACACGGGAGAAAAGCCATTTAAGTGTACCTGGCCCACATGCCATTATTCATTCCTCACAGCCTCTGCGATGAAAGACCACTACAGGACACACACAGGTGTGCCACGCCCCTTCTATCCCATTGGCTGAGCTGGGGGGGGGGGGACKACTGTCCTAGTCATAGAATGTATTTAAGATGTAGTAATTGTATATGAAAATGTATGATATCATTTATTRCCTTTCAGTAATACTCAGGATAGCTTTAAATTGACATTTTAAAGCGTGTGCGCATGCTTGTGAGCATGCATAGATTCATATCTGGAACCTCATTTATGGAGTGTGTGTGTGTGTGTGTGCACGCGCATGTGCACGCATGTGTGAGTGTGTGTATTGACACATCTTTTTAGATGTGATTTTTGTCAAGGATCGTTTGGAATATTAAGTTTTCAAASAGAGCAAGTCTTCTCTTTTCTTACAGACATGTTCTAGGTCCCATAATATATTTGCATAATATTGAGTCCTGATTTTACTTACTATTTAAAAGTTTTAAATAAGTTAATGCCTTTCTTCAGGAAAGAATGCTGTCAGGTCTAAGTTTTTGATAACACATAGAGACTAGTCTATATTGAGTTACTGTAAATTTTTTTCAGAAAAAAAAACATTAAAAGGAATAAATTAACATAAATTTGCATCAAGACATAGAAAGGACTCTGGAATTTAAACAGATTGATAGCAGAAACAGTGTTGAGAACACACCTCTATTGGACATAGTACTGAGAATGCTCAGTTAGGGCCTTCATCAGTATAGATTCCATGTGTGTGCCGTTGTCATGTGCTGTGTTTATGATTTGTTTTTCTTTGTCTTATTACAGTGGGCCGAAAACTTCCTTATATGCTTATATCTGAGTGCTTTCCTTATATCAGTATAACTATATTACTGTGAAGTATTTGGTATTTTTGTGGTCTTCTTTACACCTCTCAGAATRTATTTTATTCCCAGTGAAAAGAATAATAACTTTTAATCAGCATTCTCAAATGTTCTTCTCATTGCCAAAAATCCTATATTATTGTTAGAAATTATAGGTTAAAAGTTCTTCTGAAGCAGTTTGTGGGAAGCCTAGGCCTCCTTAGCTTCCTTGACAAGGGTGTTGACGATTTAAGGTCTCCAGCCTGCCCTGAGAGATCACTTATATCGAGCAGCAGATGAAAAGCCAGTGCAGATGTAATTTATCGTCGGCGTTTCCTTCTAAAGAATAATTGTGGAGACTTGGCTGGATCAATAATATAGATTTTTGTTGTTAGGTCTTGTAGTCTGCACCATAATGAGAGATAGGGGACAGTGGCTGTTTTCTAATAGAAAATAAAGGATTGGTTTCCGTGTCTTTCTACATTTGAATGCAGAATGGCACACTTGAAACTAATTCAAGTTGTTATGAAAAGAAGTCTTCTATTAAATCTCAATGTAAAAATATGACATGCTAATGAACCCCCTCTYTATTGAGTGAAATAGTGCATTGAGCTTTTTCTTGTTTTCTCAAAAAATATTCTTTTGCCCAATSTTTAACCCTAACTACCCCCCAAAGCAAGTGAAAATTGAATTTAGAATGAAAAACAAATCAAGCCACCAAGGTAAATATGACACAGAATACACTGGAGACTAACATCCTAAATAAAATCCTACACATCAAAAAATCAAGGTCACTAATGCATCCAGAATCAAATCACATGGAAAATGAATAAGTTTTTTCTTTGTGTCTTTATATTTATTTTAAAATAGGGATAGGACTAGAACTTACTATATACAACATACACATATATGTGATATATCAATACAGATATATAGAATGTAAATCCTATGAAAATTTTTTCTATATTTTATTTTAGAAGAAAGATATAGGTCACAAAGAAGTTCATAAATGACAGGAAGGAAAAACACGTTTTCTTGAATTCAAAAGCAATAAGAATACTCATTTCTGTTTAGAAAGTGTGACAGTTGAGTGCTGCCACACTGACATTCCTGCTGAACACACTGCAGAATGCATTTATGCGTGCCTGTGCCTGTGTGTAGTGATACACCCTCATACCCCACCTGAGTGCCTTCCTGCTTTCTACATCTGTGGGAATGTGTGTTTGTGCCWGTACACCCAAAAGAGAGCCCAGAAAGCTGGGGTAATGAAGAAATTGGGCAGAACATTTTTGCCTCAACATAGAATAGTATGCTAATATCAACATGCAAATTGTCTTTGGGGAATAACAAAAAGTCTACTTCAGTGTTATTTAATTGATACAACAGCTAGTTAGAAAGATTTATATTTCAAATTGATTAAATAATTAAATGAGTGATTATAATTACACTTTATTCTTCACAGCCCATCTACTCTGTTTTGTCTATAATGAATTAATGATGCCAAGAAATAAATTTAACCCAGAAATAAGAAAGTAAAGATAGTAAAAATATTTAATTCAGCTTCATTTTTTTAATAATAAACAATATAACATAGCATTGGGAAATAAGAGCAAACATTTTTTTAAAGGTTTCTTGTTAATAAGTGTTCCTTTAAATTATAAAAGCCAATAGTGTTCTTAAGTAATGGAAATATTTTTTTTCAATTACCACAGTTATTCTGCCTTTCTGTGTTTACTGTTCATTCTGACCTTACAAAGGCAATTTCAGCTTCCCCTAACATGGCAAGCTAACTCTCTGTTATAATGTACCAAAACTCTAGGACAAAGGAGATTGATATGGGCAAACCCGGGAAAGACTTGTTGCATTAAATGTCKGAGTGAGTAAATGGGGTAGATATAGATTACAAGTGATTTATTTTATTTCAGGAAAAGTATTTTATAATTTCACTGAATCTCTCCAAGGTTAGCATTTTTATTCTGTTTTGCCCTTCTTTGTGAGTCTTATGGGATGAACTGCCTAGCTGGCCAGATCTTACTGCCTAARTAAGCAACAGTAGAAAGATATATTGTATTTATAAACTGTAGGGCAAGATATTAGTTTGTGTAAAAAGGGCTAAAAAAAAATGAGCATTTTCACCACTTATAACATTACTACATCTGCCAAATCTGTCTTTAATTGTTGCAGAGGGTTCAAGTCCAGAGCTATCATTAAAGATAAATAGTATGAATTTTTATAGAATTTCTTTAGCAATCCCTAGACTTCCTTTCCTATGCCATGAAAGTTCAAGAAGCATAAACAGCATTGAATTGCTGTTGGTAATGTAGATTTCATTGTTTCAGGATCTTCAGTATGTTCAAAGAAACCATTTAATTCATATCATAAGTAGAAGTGATTAAAGAAGACCCAGATAGAATAGGTAAAAACAATTCAATATTCTTGAGTTGTTAGAAAATTCAATATGTTTCATGTAAGCASAATCATATATACTGTATATTAACAATTCCAAGCAATCTTTACTTAGCTCGGAAAGGCCAGATGTATGGGAATTGTAAAAAATCAGGATATGCATAAAAACTGTTCAAGTGCATAAAGCAGCCCCATCTGGAAGACATCTACTAGAAATGAAGTTGTACAAAACCATTCCATTGATAATAAAGCTAATTTTTATGGGTCTGACAAGTATGTAATTATGTTCAGTGGTGCTTTTCAGATTTTATCACAGTCAATAAACCGCAGTGGTAATTTCATTCCCATTTGACATATTTACATGGAAACATTTGATTGGAGGAATTAGTAACCCTGAAAGCCTTGATAGATATGTTTTAATGATCTGTGACCTCCRCAGTCCCTCATCTGTTTATTGTTGCAACAGGCGAGAAGTCGTTTCTGTGTGACCTCTGCGGCTTTGCCGGTGGGACCCGACATGCCCTCACCAAGCACCGTAGGCAGCACACAGGTCRGTACCAAGTCTACAGGGAGAGAACATGGTGTCAGATATCCTAGCCACCATTTTTTACCTCATCAGTTTCTTTTCGGTTTAACTCCTATAAAATCTGAGGACCTATAGAGAATTCTATTTGAATAATGTAAGATTTTAATTTATCTATTTTTATACATTTAAAAAGTAGATGTGTTACATATTTCAGGAATCAGATATTCAGATGTCCCCAGTAAATTATGTTAAATAGGAGAAAAAAATAAAAACAGTGGCTCCCTAAGCTTGGGGGTGTGAATAGGGGAGCCGGTGTTGGTGGTCCTCCCCCCTCCCCCCCCATGCCTCTGTACCCACCTGCCTACTTAGCTTCCTTATGTGTTATCTGCCCAACTCCTGTCTATCTCTCTGCCTCCCTGCCCTTCCCTTCTATTGGTCAGTCGGTCTGTGAGTTAATGTGATTTGAAGTCGGTGCTGTTTAATAAGTTATTCTTAATATTAATTATTAATGGAAATAAAGGAACAACATAAGAGATAATTATGGTCATTGAAGAGAATCTCCCTCTCCTCACATTATGTGTACATTCTTGGTGATTGAACAAAATAAAATGGATTCCTTGACTATGAACACTTATGAATGAGAAGTTTTAAACATTCTCAAATTTGCTTCCTACTTTGTATAATGTAATGGGTCTTATAAGTAATTATTTTTGTAATTCTAAATTATATGTGTTTGGGATGGTATGGATTCATGGCAGTTGTCCCTTGAAGCTATTAACAGAACCRCATTTTACTACCAGATCTTACCTTGTTAAGATGATAAGTCATGTGGTAACATAGTGATAACRAAGTATTGTATTTTTACTTTTGTACCTGAGGGTGGTTGAGTGTGACAATCACACCGTGAATGGCATGAAATTAAAGTATGTAAAATGTGTTATTTATGGTACATTATGATTCTTGAAATGCTATGTTGAATGGGTACAGTCAGCTTTCATGCCCAAGATGGAATTTGTAGGATCAATGAAAATGAATGCCAGTTATTGCTTTTAGATCTTGCATGTATATGATTCGAATTTCCATCTGGAATAAGAACTGTTGCGTCAAAGGAAAATTTCCAGTCTAGCATGATATTGGAAACATAGATGTACTTTAAACACATAAAATTTCATTGTAAGTTTCCAGGAGCCACTGTGCATRCATTATTTTAAGAATTCSGTGTAAGATGATAGAAAAGGCAGTTATCCTTGACCACTCCAGTGGAATAGTTGGAAGTAAGTGCATAAATAGTGTGCTCATTAGGATTTTTATTCATAATGTTTTCAGTTTATTGGTGCTCAAAGTATTATGATTTAAATGTCCCTGTAATTCTCCTTGTTTCATCTGGTGTAGCCCCAGGGGACAGTAGACTCCCACYGTGCCACCTCTGCCACTAGGTATTGTCCCTCTTTGCCCTACAGTGGAGAACCTAGAGCTGCGATCACAGGCCTTCTAGCTGATGGATCGATCAAGAAGCCTGCAATGAGCCAGCATAAGTTTATATTTTATGTCAGGTCCAGAGTCTCCTTATTACTTTGCTATTAACTTTATACCATATAGGACAATGTCTCACAGACAGAGGTATCTGTCTTTTTGGCATTTATCTGCCTCTCTGGCACAAATCAAACATGATTCTTTAATACCAAAGTCAGTTCTTCAGACTGTTGGTGTCAACAAACAGCTCTGTACAACTCAGTCTAGGCACTTAGCTTTTATGCTGGATTTAAAATGTTTCAGCAACATACAACTTTTTATTTCCCAAGGCCAGACTCGAATGGTACATTTGAAATCTGTATTTCTCTGATGTGTCCYACTTTGACGTGGTTTACCTTTTTACCACAGAGTGCCCACGCAAATTACAATCRGTTTGGAAAGGGATAGGTATCCAAAGTGTTCCAAATGGCGTAAATAATTCCCTATTGCAATACAGACTGTCTAGGGGGCTGACACAAAACATCTTCTGTTCTGAGATTTATTTTTATCACCTGTCAGAGACCCTTGATTCAAGGSCACAGGAACCAGTCCTCACATGCAGTTGAAGAGTCCTGGCCAGCTTAATAACCCAGCCCACCCAAAGGAATGCAGAGTGTGATTTCCTGGAGATGTSGCAGCCAGTCTGACAGATGGTTGACACACAAAAGGACACTGCTCTGTGGTGACAAGCTATTCTGATGTCCCTGCTCTTTCTTCTACTTTTCTATCAGGTTACCCGATAGAAAGGTGCAAAGTATTCCTGGTTGGTTATGTTAGCTAAGATTATATGTAAGCCAATACAGTCTAAACAACCAAGTCCTGTTGTCTCATGTAGAGGAAAATGCAAAGATTTGGGGAACTCTTCCTTATTCTGCTTTTTTGAAAGGGTAGCCCTCTTGCCTTATAGGTAGTGTTATTTGAGTTTTAATATGTTACTTGGTTTTATTCATTCTTTCAGCTTTGGAATGGCAAGGAATTCAAAAGCTCTCTKTCCAGTCAGTCCTTCATTAGAAGATCTTCCTTAAGCATGTTTATATACCTCGTCATACACCATTTCTTATTTAAAATAATTAACAAATATTTAGCACACCAAAATTTTTATTTCAAATCTTGTTTTTCTTTCCAACTTTTGAGTCTTGAGGTTGGGTTTATATTTTGATTGTGTATTGAGACTAACAAGAAACTCCTTCTGTGTTTCTGCAGTGTTGTTTTTTTTTCCCCCCTGAAGAAATCACCCACAAGTGATTTCAAAAATTACCAAATTGCATATTAGAGAAAAAGTATTGAACATATAGCAAAATACATGAATTGCAAATTAACTATCGTGTACAGATTTGAATAAATTGGAGTTTATAAAAGTTGAAGTGAGATTCTTACACTGTTGAGAACTCAGATAAGTGTGAGCCTTCCTTAGCATTTTGGGTAGCATAACATTTTTGTTACATTCTCTTTTTTCCTTCCAACCCGTATATAATTTAAAGTATTTCAGTATTCCACAACTTAACCTATGATATGGTCAAGGTAGATATGTTGTGACATTTTGTAATTTACAACAATATAATGCTACCTACTGTGAACGTAAAGTTATTTGAATTATAAAGMAAGTAAATGGCATCCTTTTTTAAAAATGTGTTGCTTTTAGATTTAAATTTTGTTAAATAAAAATACCATGAAAGTTCACCTGAAATAAACTATATTAAACACATTTTTTAAAAAGAGATTGTTAAACTCCCAAACTAAGAAGATCTCAGATCTTTAATTTGCACCACTGACATAGGCGATAAGGTCTATAATGTCACTCTTTTTGCAATCTTCAGATACCTTTCAAATTCATGAAGAATGAATAGCTCAAGGATGTTGGGCAAGGACGCTGCGGTGAACAAATGGCAGTGATTTGTCACACAAAAACATTTTACAGACATTTAGAGGGAATGGAGGCATCAGAGTAAAATTGTGAATTTGCATAATTAAAATCTTATAAATTGCTTGACTATTTAGAGTCATTTTATTAAAAGTGGAAGTTTTATACTAAGTTACAGTCTTATACAGCTATCATAATTATGACAATATTTTATTGGCATAAAAGTGGACACATAAATCAGTGGAATAGAAAGGAATCCAGAGATAGACTTATGCTTATATTTGTCAAATATTTTCAAACAAGGTATCATATTCAGAGTTAAATTCAGGAAAAAATGTGCAAAGGCCCTACAGTGGAAACCTCGTAACACCCTGATAGAAATTTAAGAAGACCTAAATAGAAAGCTGTACCATGTTCATGGATCAGAAGACTTGATATTGTYATGGTTAAAATTTCAATTCCTTTCACATCGATCTGTGCAAATCCCATCATTTTTTGAGAGATTGACAGATTTAAAATTTTGTATGGAAATTCAAAAGTCTGAATATAGTCAAATAAGACTGAGAACACAATTGTAGTACTTAAAATACCTGACATCTACTTATTATAAAGCTACAGTAAAGAAATCATTCCAGTTTTGCTATCACATAAGCAAATGTATTTAATGAAAGAGAAGAGACATTATAGAAATAGACCTCACACCTACAAGGTCAAGTTAATTTTTGACAAAGGTACAAATATAATTTAGTCTTCTCATCGTACAGTGTTGGAACAATCAGATATCCATAGGCAATGAATGATCAGTAAAAGTAATCTTTGAGCCACACTCTGTAACATATATATAGAGACATTCACTCCAAAGAGGCAGTCTCAGTGTAAAATTTAAAGAAGTATAAAATCTAGATGAAATCATAGGAAAAAAAACTTTTGTTTTGGATTACCAAAGATTTCTTTGTTTTGACAGCAACAGCTGATTCATGAAAAATGATTATTTGGAAACTTTATAAAGTAGTAATTAATGTTCTTTTAAAAAACATTGAGAGAACTGAGGATGTTGCTTAGTGGTAGTGTTCACCTAGTATATGCGAAGTCCTGTTTTTTTTTTTTTTTTTAAAGAGAGAGTGAGAGAGGAGAGAGAAAGAGAGAGAATTTTTTTTTAATATTTATTTTTTAGTTCTTGGTGGACACAACATCTTTGTTGGTATGTGGTGCTGAGGATCGAACCCAGGCCGCATGCATGCCAGGCGAGCGCGCTACCGCTTGAGCCACATCCCCAGCCCTGCAAAAATTTTTAGGAAGAAAGAAGGAAGGAGAATGGAGGGAAACAAAAACAGACCAACCAACCTACTAAGATGAGGATGAAAAGACAAATTACAGATTGGGAGAAAGTACGTGCACATCACAAGTTGTATAAAGAATCATAGCAGAACATCAAAAGAACTCTGAAAACATGGTTCTCAGAAAAAAGTAAATTAAAAAGATAAAGATTTTAGCAGATATTCACCGAAGCATATGAAAYTGTGGTTCATAAGTCCAAGGATGGAAAGAGCCTCACCATCCATAGAGAAATGCTACAGGCAAGTACTGACAATACCAGATATTGGTGAAGATTTGGAGCAGCTGGCCTCTCACACTCAGCTAGTAAGAATCT